GTGTTTTCTTGTCTTTCTAGGACAGACTCACGAATAAAGAAAACAGAGAAAATATGTCTGAGGCAAGACCATTTTACGGGCCACACTTCTTGCAGAAACTGGTGTAGGGTTAAGGTTATGGGTTACAAGTTCAGAAGTGATATATGCATATGTGCACCTAATGTGTTCACATAAAGACAAATATTGTGTTGTTAGGTGCACGGTGGTTGTATGTTAGTGTGCGCACGCATACAAACAGTGGCGGGCAGAGGGAAGAGGCAGATGGGATCATGAGTTTGTCCGTGTCTCACTTCTCTGTGGTGAGCATCAGGATCGCAAAGCCCGCTGGGAAGAAGTTTTGTAACCACTTATAGTAAACTGAGACTGTGTGGAAATAGAATTACAATGTTCAGAGCCCCGTGGAAAACAAGATGAAGCTGAAACATCTGTCAGATGTTTAAAAACACCCCCCAACCCCAACCCCACCCCACACTCAACTTTCTTTTTTTTTCTTGCTCAGATATTGAAATCTGAATTTGCTGTAAACCTAGAGAAACCTGGCTAAGCTGCAATTGTTTTAGTGTTTGAGCAACATGTAACTTTTTAAAAGCGAGTGAAAATTAATGCTCAGACCTACAGCAAGGTCATAAATGAACAAAAAAAAAAACCTGGCCTGCTGTTTGATTTCTTGGCCTGCAGCTTAATATATCAAAGTTAACTGTGCTAGTATGCTGGTGTTTTTCAGAGGGTTTTATGTTTACGCAGTAATATAAATTTACATCTGCAGCTCACCAGTGAGCCTGCCTGGAGCCTGGGGTTTGGTGTCCGTACGTGGTGTTCCTTTGCTTCATATTAGGAGAATGAATGCAGTATATTTCTAAAGGTAAGACAGTCCTTTTATCAGCTCTCATCATCTGCACCTCGCACATTAAAAACTCCTGTCTGGATCTGCACGGACATTATTTCATCCTTGCATGTCTGACTGTTGTTTCAACCTGCTCCCTCTTTCTTTGGCTGTGTCTCCACTGCTCCTTTGCAGCTGCTGAGAAACTCCTTTTAGGAAAAACTGACATAAAAAAGATGCACTGTTTGCACATTTGTTTTGTTGGTGTGTGTCTAATTTAAACATTCGCATAGCTATTATATATAACGTCTTTAAATTACTGTCATGATTAAAATCAAATTTTTAATAAGGATCCTCTCACTTTTTTCTTCTCAACTTTTCTTTGTAGTCATTTTAGTTTCCATTGTGCTATTTTAAAATATAAATCTCTGACTGACTCTGATTATGTACTTCCATTCACAATATATATCTAAATTTTTCTGTTAATTTCAAATTTTCCAAATATAAAGGGAAGTGAATTCATTTTGAGTTTACAGCAAATCTTTAAAGTCAAGCCGGTTATTCTGTTGCTCCTGTGGCTGTTATAATAATGGTCAGGAGACATTTGACAGTTATTTACAGTTAAACCTGTTTTTACTGTGCTGTGGAAACAAAACCCGTGACAGAGCAGTGAGCTTGTCTGTCTGTCCCTCTCACTTCATGTTGGCTTGCCTTCCTCTGGAATCCCTTTGCATATCAATGACTTCATGTCAAAACAAGCCCCAAATCCTCCACTCTACTTTGTGTGTGTGTGTGTGTGTGTGTGTGTGTGTGTGTGTGTGTGTGTGTGTGTGTGTGTTTGTGCGTGTGTGAATGAGAGAGGGCTAGAAAGAAAAAAAAATATTGCAGGGGTTTGTGCACATATCTGTGTGGCGATATGTGCAGGTGATATGTGCACACAAAAAGAGACTGTGCGTTTGTTTGTGTGTGTGTGTGTTTGTGCATCTCTGTGAGCCTGAGTGACTGCCCGTAAGCCTAGACTGGAGGTTAAAAGTCCAGTGTTTCTCTCTGATCATATTCCTGGCAGGCTGACCAAGTGCCAACACAGCGAGAGAGAGAGAGAGAGAGAGAGAGAGAGAGAGAGAGATGTTCCTCATGTGAGAAGAAGGCAGATAAACATTTTCCTTCTGTCACTTGTCCCTATGCATATCTCCATATCAGAGAGTGTGTGTTTGTTTGTGTTTGTACTTAAGTTTTCGGTATGGGGGAGGTATCACTGGAGCAACCAATGCAAGGCAAAATCTGCAGCTAAGGATTGTGCAGTTAGTGGAACTGTGATAATGGTAATCATATTTTTGTGCATAAGTATTGTGCTCTCAAACACACCCAAAGCAACCTGTGAGATTTGATACTCACTTTCTGCATACCAATTTTTGCATGTAAACTAAACTTTAATTTGATGAATGTTAAGGTACTTGTACATCAGTACTTCCATCTACTGCTACTTTACATTTCTACTCCTCTATATTCCAAATGCAAAAATTATACTTTTTAGTTCAATACATTTATTAAGTAGCAAAAGTGAGAAAATTTGACGATGCAGTAAGAATATTCCATCCTATTTTCTTCCTTTTTTTCCTAATTCTTGTGTTCTGTCTTGTTTTCAAGCTACAGATGTGGCTTTATAGCCTTTTTTTTAAAAAGGAATTAACAACCCTAACCCTAACAAACAGCAGCCTTACTGCACTGACAGATAATTAGGAAAATTAGGTTTTTATAGTGTAACTGTATTCAGAAATATTTTTTTGAGGGTGGGGGTTTTGCAGATGAAAGTGTCCAACAGTGTACAGAATCATTACATTTTGCTTCCCCTCAACCCATTATAACAGTAAAACACTACATCATCAAAGCAGCCTTTTTTCTGCATAATGACTTTTGCCTTTGTAACTGTAAGGACATTTTGCTAACCATACTTTTGTAGCTTAATTTTGCTTAAATAAGCTGTTGAAAGCTGGACTTGTAATGTACTTGTAATGGAGTATCGCCTAATGTCCCGCCACAGGCTTTGTGAAGAGGGTCTTTCATGTCTCTCACCGCCACCACCAAGTGGCGCTGTTGAAAACACGCTGCGCAGAAAAACAACTTCCGAGACCCGCTTCGAAAACAGGAAAGTGCCTTCGTTGACTCTGTCGGAGAAGAGCAAGATGGCTACCCTGGACGTAGATGATTTTATTCAACAAAACCGAGCTTTGGCCGACCAGGTGGAAACGTTTCGAGGTTACTGGGAGAGTGACAAACACTGGCAGGCCAGGAGAGAGTTCATCCTGAGGAACATCAACGACTACGACTTCCAGCAGCTCGACCACCTGCTCTCTCTGTCCATGGTCTGGGCCAACAACGTCTTCCTCGGCTGTCGGTGCGTGAACATAACACGTTTCACATTTTAGTACATATGCACCCTTTATCGGGCAGGCTTTTGTGTTGACTCTTTTCCTGAGCTGTAGGATATAAAACCACTCCACAGCTGGTGAAGCTCCTCAGTCCAGGATCAGGCTAGCTTAGCGACTTAGCGCTGGACTTTAAAGCTGTCGTTTAAATTTACCTTAGATATATTTACCAAACCTGTCAGTACTCCCTCACAATCTAAGCCCCTTCACTTCTAAAAGTTAAACCTCTTGTTTGACATTACTTCTGATAAGTCACAGAACTTGCCTTTGTGGGGTTTGTTGAAAAATGTTTTCGAGTGCGAAATCTTCTTCGTCTCCCGCTCTCAACACACGACGGGCTCACTACTGCCCCCTGTGTCCGTACAACGACTGGCAACTTGTGGGCTCTGCTCATTCTGCAGCTGCGCCGGGTGTTTTTCTTCATGAATCAGAGAGATGATGACGATCCACTAACATATCAGTTAATACAAAACATTTTCCTTTTAATCCTTTAAGGATCCTTAAATTTACTGTTGAAAAAAACATTTGTCAGTGCTCTCTGGTGGACATATAGAGACTGTTTCTAAAATTGTCAAACATGTTTTGACATTTCTATGCTGATTTCCTGTTATATTTGTCTGCATCTTGAATTCATTATCATTTAAGAAAAGGAATAAGCAACACTTTACAACAGAGAAGTTGGAAATAGGAAATGTTTGTCTTATATCCTTGAAATATGACAATCAATTTTCAACTCATTGTTCACGACACTATAAGCTCTTTGAAATAATATGGACCACAGAGATTAATTAAGGATGCTGAATAATTGTGGGTTATTTTGCACTGTTGGCAGGTATAGCACAGAGCTCCTGGAGAAAGTGAAGGAAATGGCTGAAGGCATCGTGGTGGAAGATGCACCGGTCTTCAAGACGAGAGATGAGATTATTAAGAAACAACAGGTGCGTCTGTGGGCACACACACATACACACAGATATAAAATTTCTCATGAAAAAAAAATTCTCATGTATTTCTCTCCTCTATCATAGGGTCGATGACCAGCTCAGTCTCCTCTGGTTGTATCAGATGAAAACTGATGGGACTCAGTTGTTCTATACACACAGGCTGTGCTTGTAACACGTGGGACCACATTTCTGTGGCATTTTAACCATCCTACATTATTTATGACGGATGTGATAAGAGTAACATAGTAACATCTAAAATCTTTTTTATGAAACACAAAGACTTGGTTTTTAGAATTTTAATTGTGTGGAGACATTAAGAAGTTTTGGCAGTCTGATAGCTTCACTGCTCATTTATCTCTACACGATTGTTTTACATTTTTTAAAGTGTATTCATTGTTTTTAGTGCTGTTTTTATATCAGTTCAGATACAAGATGACACTGCATCTTGTCCTCATGTCTCTGTTTTGGGAATTAAAGACTTGTGAATTCTTTTTCTCATGGGGTCATATTTTGTCTTTTTTTTCTAAGAATGATGTTAGAGATGGATCACAATTTGATTCTGTTTCAGATATTCTGTGAGTTCCTCAACAATTTAGGGCATAACTTTTCTCCTGTCATCATCTCACACATTTCAAGCAAATAGTAAATCAAAACAAAAAGGCTGCGGTGCAAAAACCAGAGTTCTGGCTTCAGAAGAGGTAGAATTTTTAATAGTGAAGCTGCATAATCCTACAGCTGTACAACACAATGTCCACCTACTCTTCTACTTTTACAGTTTTTATAAACTTTAAAAATCAAGAGCAAAACCTGTTTCAAAGTCTGAAAAATGTGTTTTATTATGTTTATACAGCATATTGTTATAAGTATACATTTTCTTGTTTAATTCACAAAATTTTTTATAACATATCCCTTCTGCTTATTAGGTGAAATAAGTCACTAACCACAATATGACCTTTACCGTCTCAGAAAAGAGGAACTCTGTTTTATGATGACTGTCTTCCATTGATTATTTAGCTGAGTTGGGCAGGGTTAAGTCATAAATTTATACTCAAGTGGTCTTTTAATTGGGTATCACATACAAATAAAACGAGACAAATGCAGGCATGAAACCAACTTTGGGAAAACTGTTGAAGCAGGGTTTGAACTGCAAGCAAGTGTAGTCGTCTCTCCAGCAATTTGATCTATCAATCCTCCAACTGCTCTCATTTAAAGCAAATGAAAAAAAAAATATATATATATATATATATATGCGCATGTGACAGCACTGCTTTTATCCTCTGCTTACTTGTTAATTTATATGTCAGCTGTGTCATTTCAAGAGAAGGATCAAAAGAACTGACATCACTCAGGCGGACACGCGTCACCGGCAACAAAGCGTTTCGAAAGTCAATTACTTTGTGTGGCAGGTGAAATAAGAAAACTGTGTGGGCACAAGCATCACATGAGCTGTCATGAGAGGGAGCGGAAAACAGTCCTGCATCTACTTTCCGTTTTCTTAAATTCCGGACTCTGATGACTAATACAGGCATATTATAGACAACAAGCAGAACAGAGGAGAACATGATGTAGAAGTACACCCAGCATGTTAAGTATTTTTATCAACTTCATGCTGATTCTCATTGTCTTTAACCTTTACAGATTTGTACTTGCTGTGTCGGGTCGTTCCATTAGCCACGAATGAACTACAATGATATGCACTGAGAAGAACTGTTCAATTCCTCATCTCGTGGGCTCCTTTGCTCCACATACATTTTGACAGCTTTCAACAAAGAACGGCAGACTGGCTCAATTAGCTGACTTAAGGAAAATTAAATGTTGATTGAAATTAAAACAGTATTTCCTTATTTCAGCTGGGATTCCCACAGCCTTTTCACCAACTAACCCTGATCTCCACTTTGGGATCTGCAGTCCGAGCTTATCCTGTCCCATCCTAGTGTTAATATTTACTTTCTCATAACACTCCCTTTCAAACATATATCATCTGCTACCTTGGAGAAGAAATGATTAAAATAAAAGCTCAGAGCTGGCGAGCCACGGAGTCATGATTCATCAGTGCAAGGGAGACTTGGCGCTGTTGCAGCCTGTGACGTCTGTGAGCCCAAACCTACAGTGTCTTAAAATAACAGAGATATGCTGGAACAGATCAGGTATTGTTCTGTGATGATATCAACTCTGAAAAAGGCATTTTCTGGGTTATTCCACGACTTTCAAAATATGCTGATTTGGTCATCAACCTGCCCTTTCCAAACAGTCAAGTTGTGCACACCAGCGGACGTTACAAAAAAAGAAAAAAAAAATTCCAAAGGAAAAAAAAAAAAAATCTGTAAAACTCAAACACTAACAGTCCAACCAAATCCAACCAAACAACAAAGATATATTACAAATTCTGTTAGCAATAACTTATTTCACATCATGCAATAAAAAAAGTAAAATTAAGGACAAGAAACAAATAAAAGATTGATTTCCCTCCCTCGTTTTCCTCAGATGTATTGGCAAGCAAGATAATGTCCATTCTGGTTCGGTTGTTCTCTGGATGTTTTTTTTTTTTTTTGGGTGGCACTTGGGTTCTTCTGATATAGTTGCTGTTTTTTTTTTTTCTTGATGAGGTAAAAAATGAGAGACTGAAGTACTGGGATAATGAAGAGAGGATGATGGAGAGGAAGGAGTAGAGAGCGAGAGAATCTCAGACGTCAACCCAGCTCTGCTCCACGATGGCCGTCACCCTCTTCTCGTACTCCCTCTTGTTTTCCTGATAGAGCTGTGCAGCCTGACTGTTGGCCGGACTGTTGGGGTTTGGCTCATCCAGCAACGACTGTGGAAAATAAGATATGTAATGAAAATATCCACTGTGACTTATCAGCTTTAAAATACCAGGACAGATTCTCTGAATGAGAACGTACCTGTATATAATGTAATGTATACAAACAATATACATATACAAAATTTATGAGGAGATAAAGATCTATGCGTACACTATATCACATGTATTCTGATCTCTCATCCTTGATCTTTTTCTCTCCCTTTGGAACAGAAAACGTAGGTTGGATTTAGGGGTGGGCGATATGACGATATTAGATCGTGAAGGATTACAACGTGAAGACGATCTTTCAAACTGCAGAGATCGTGGGATCGTCTAGGGCACATTCTATAAATTGCAGTTCTATGCTGATGCACCGACGCACCAGACGTATTGACGTCGTCAACCTGACCGACCAATCATAGCGAATTACGGGCAGTGACGCACTTTCCTACCCGCCTCCTTGTTTGTGTGTGTAGCGGTAGCACATGGAGAGCGGTGGCTGAAAGTCAAACGGAGTTGGTCGCTAAAAAAAATTCCACCTCCATTATATGGAATTGGTTTGGATTTTCCGCAACTGATCAAGCGCAAGCAAATGTAATTTGCAAAGTTTGCACAGAAACCGTTCGCACGTCGGGTGGTAACACTACGAACCAGAATGTTGTTGTTGTTTACCTTAAACTTTACGTTGTTTGCACATGCAGGCAAAACTGCGACTATTTGAAATAAAATCTGTTAAGAAAGGTTCTTTGGTCGAAATTGTCTGTTTTTCTTTTTCCAATTTAAGATCGTGATAAAATCGAAATCGTGATTTTATTTTTAAAAAATCGTGATGTGATATATTTTTGCCATATCGCCCACCCCTAGTTGGATTGCACATTAATTTACACATGAAAAGGGAATTATCAATAAAATAAAAAAAATGTATTTAATAATTTAGCATCCACTGAAATAAGACTTAAATGCAGTAAAAATGATCCCATCTAAAATGTACACATCCATCCATGCAACAAATAACAGACAATAGCCCATGTATTTCAATCACTCCAATGCATTCATTGATGACATTAACTGAGGTGAACGCAGTGCAGGTAAAACATCAAGAAAATCCTAAAAACAAATAACAGTTATGGATGCCAGGCAGACCACGTTAACTAGAGTGCTTTGTGTAAAGGCAGTCACACCAACCAACCTGGATGGAGGTGAGTATGGACGACACATCATACGTGGGGCTCCAGCGATTCTGGAGGATGTCTAAACATATACTGCCATCTGCATAAACTGGAGAACACAACATGTTCAAGCTTCAGACCACGGAGATCAACATCACGACACAAGTTATGTCTCAGCATCAGTGTCACCGAGATAATTATCTTTGCATTTAGTAAAGACTGAATGTACAACGCATCAACAAATAGATGGTGAACATTAACCTAGCAGACTGTTACAATTTCTATAGCTAGGAGTATACTCCAAATGCTCTATATGAATTTGCTTTGTTATATATGGAGTAAGCCAGCCCGATGGAACCGACTAAATTTATGTTATTATGGACTGGGAAAGGAGATGAATGGGAGGAAACTGCTTGAATGAGGAGGAAAGGAGTAACTTTGAGCCTTGAAACAAACTGTGCCTCATCCAAAGTTCAAGCATCTTGTACGTCATACACAAATAAATGTAAACTGTAGACACTGGTTATGAATAAAGCAACACTTTGTTCTATTTTCAAACGCACGGTTTAAAGTCAGTCAATGTGCATGAGTGTGAGTAGGTCTGAGCAGCTGTGTCACTTACCATTTGGGTGAAACATTCTGGACACAAACCGAACCGTGGGAGGCTTGTTTGGGTACTCCTCTGAAAACTCTATCAGAAGCTTAAACGTTCCTGCAGCGACACAGAGGGGGAAGGGGGAGGGAGAAGGTGAGAGGCAGAGAGAATGACAATACAGAGGGAGAGAGTGTGTTGAGGGGGTGCACACAAGTAATTTTTGGCGGAGAATACAGGTGTGAAGGATCGAGGAGGTCAGACAAAGCGAGAGAAACAATTACGTTACTAAAAATATCACCAGCCCGACTAGAACAAGAAACTAATCCCTCATTGAGGTACAGATGTCGACTGCAGGCTAAAAAGAAAAAAAAAATAAGGGAGAGATGATTAACAAGAGAAAACTAAACTCTGAGTCAGCACTTCTCATGCCTGAGATGCAGAAAAAGTGGGTGTATGTACATACACCGATCAGCCATAACATTATGACCACTTCTCTAATATTGTTGTAGACCTCTGAAGGTGTGCTGTGGCATCTGGCACAAAGACGTTAGCAGCAGATCCTTTAAGTCCCGTAGGTTGCGAGGTGGGGCCTGCAGCCCACATTTGCTCGACTGGATTGAGATCTGGGGAATTTGGAGGCCAAGTCAACATCTTGAACTCATTGTTGTGATCCTCAAACCATTCCTGAACCATTTTTTGCAGTGTGGCAGGGTGCATTATCTTGCTGAAAGAGGCCACTGCCATTAGGGAATACAGTTTCCATGAAGGCGTGAATGGCAGGACCCAAGGTTTATCAGCAGAATATTGCCTCAAGTATCACACTGCCTCCTTGCTTGCTTGCCTTCTTCCCATAGTGCATCCTGGTGCTATCTCTTCCCCATGTAAGCGTGATTCATAAGACCATGCCACCTTCTTCCATTGGTCCGTGGCCCAGTTCTCATGCTCATGTGCCCATTGTAGGTGCTTTTGGCAGTGGACAGGAGTCAGCATGGGCACTCTGACCCATCTGTGGCTACGCAGGTCCATACACACCCACTGACAGGTGCCATTGTAACGAGATAATCAATGTTACTCACTTCACCTGTCAGTGGTCATATCGGCTGATCGGTGTATGTCTCTTGTATTGTATGTGCTATACTACAGAACTGCAATTGTGTTACCATTGAACACGTCTAACGAGTGTTCAGCTACTCAATTAGAGGTACTGATGTCAGTAATTTCTTAAAAAAAACAAAAACAAAGATTGATACATATAGCATTGAAAATTAAATAACCCAACAGCTGTCCCTGTCAATTTGCACTCCTACATTGCTTAGTTAAACATCACCAAATATAAAGAAATCTGTCTTTGCCTTATTTCAACTTTGTGTCAAATCTCTTAAAATAAAACTTTTTTGTGACACTTTTTTCATGAAACACTTTGTTGTGCTCATTCAGTCGTAAATGAATAAAATCAATGATTATAAAAGGTAAGGTTTAATTTGGGGGCATGAGATTATTCATTCATATAGTTTATCAGCTTTTGTGATTATATAATGTAAGAATGTTATTGCTCTACAAATTTCGGTTGACCCAGGTAATAATTATGAGCAGGCTGCAACTCAAACTGGGTCCCCTGGATGGTATTTCATGTGTCTCACCCCCACCAACACAGCCCATTGAGATTTATCTTAGGGCTGACTTCTGTCTGACACATCAATGGAATTTCTTTAAATATTTTATGTGAATTTTGGTTTGTTGCCTCATTCTAAGAGGCCAATTTATTGCCTTATTCTGAATGGTTGGTTTGTAACTTTATTCTGATTGATGGGTTTATACAAATCAACCAATCAGAAGATGACTGCAAATTAACCAACCAAGGTAAAGCTACAAACAAACCAATCAGAATATGCCTACCAACCAACCATTTATAGGTGCAAGGATGTTTTAGAGTGTGTGTGATTTTGTCCTCAGTCATGTTGATTTCTTGGGTGTGTAATCCATGATCACCCTCAGACTTCCATGTTTTTTTACAACACACTGCCCAGAAGGCTGTAACAATTGGATTGAATAATACAACTCTACGATAATAACAGTGCAAAAGAAAGTTAAATCAAATCCAGATCTCGAATAACTTACCATCTTCAAATGGCGTTCCCACAGGCCTTCAGACGGTGGAGAGAGAGAGAGAGAGAGAGAGAGAGAGAGAGAGAGAGAGAGAGAGAAATAAAATTATTTCCAAATTCCAAAAATCCCCACTGCTACCAATAAGGCATTGGCTTGTAAACAACATAACCATTACCATTTATACAAGAGCATGCTCTATACAGACACCTGAGTCTTTATTTACTCGGCTCCTCACATTCACAGTCTGTGTAACTAGGCTGATCAAAACAGCTGAATTCACGTTTTACATTTCTAGCAGTTTCCACTTTGACTTTGAATTAGGTGAGGAACTATTAACAAGTCTATTTTTATTTCAAACCAATGTGTTATTCCATGGTTTGTTTTTGTTACACCTTCTTGTTGTTGAGTTTTAAAATTACTTCCAGCGATCCAATTTTCTTGTGTTCTTGATGTTTTATTACCTCTTGCATCCCTTTTGAATTTCATACCACCAGTATAGTTTAATAAGAGCAAGTCCCTTCCTGCTTTTTCATGATTCATTCTCCCTCCCATGCACTTTAAATTAATCTCTGAAAAGTCACTCTTTTGGTTTGGTTTTATGTATTCTTCCTTCCTTCCTTCCTTTTCTCATCAACTCTACCCTCAACAGTGTCTCTCAGCCTGTTCTTCCATCAAACACCTGCTGAGTCTCTACATGCTGATTTTCCAGACTGCTCTGTGCCACAATCGGGGCTGTAATCAGAAATATTTTTGAACTGTGGGAGAACGTAGAGAATGAGAATGCACCAAGGGTGGGTTTGTGGGGGAACCTGTGCATCATAATCACAGTGGCACAGTAGAGACAGCAGGGAGTTGGATTTAGAGCATGACTCACCCAAAAATAACAGCGTTCCAAAGCATGATGTTGTTCTCTGATGGTGCTCCGCTCACGCCTGTGGGAGGATCTTCTTGAAGTCTGGGTAAGACAGAGAGAAAGAAACATGGTAAGAGAAACACAGAGGGCGACGTGGAAAGAAAGACAGCAAGATAGGCACAGAGGAAGGGACAAAAAGGGGGGGGAGAGCAGGAAGCAAGGTGGGAAGAATAAAAAGGAAAGAAAAAATACAAAAAGTAAAGATAAAGACAAAGAAAAAAAATGATGGGGGAGGAAGAGACAAAGAAGAGGGAGGGGAAAAGGAGAGACAAGGATTGGGAGAGAGTGTGAGGATTTTAATTAACACCTTCACTGCAGGATAATTATCAGTCAAAACACAAACTGCTGTATCAACATGACTTCAGTAGACAGCCAGGCTTGCAGGATCAAGTGCTCTGTGTTCATCCTGCTGTCACATGTCAGTAAACATACGCAACACCATTAACACTCATCTGAAGCACTGCTATACCAAGAGCATCAAAGTCCTGGTGGTGCTAAGCCCTTTAACCAATGAGTTGACCTTCACCTGAAATTACTTCTCACTAATGTGTATAAACCACAGATGAAGAAGCGGCACTTTGATCATTTCTATCAATACATGTTTTTCTTGTTGCTCTCCATCGCTGAGATATATATATATATATATATATATATATATATATATATATAAAAATAAATAACATACTGAAGACCAGTTCATTAAAGTTTGGGACAAATGTCCAGTGTCTCCTCTTTTCCCAAGAAAAAACAGTTGCAGATAAAGTGATGTGTTTTTAACTTGGCAGCAGCAGCAACACTGGTCTGACAAAATCACCCCACACATAAATTAAAGACTACGGCTGTTATTTCAGCAATATTTACTTGTAAAATGATCACGCAGAACATTAGAAGCGACAGAATATCTTTCTTATTTTGTATCTCACACAGCACAGTGTCTGATTGGGTAACTGCTCTGCCACTCACTGAACAGAGCAGACACAGAGAGAGGTGTGTCTCTCACTCTCGGGGCGGTGTTGGCAACTCTTAGCCAACACTGCCAAGGTTTGTTCAAAAAGTCGCCAAATTTGTCCCACTCAGCTGACCAGTGGTGTAACTTCATCACAAACTCAACTCAACTCACACTCAGGGATGTAGCGCGGGACTGTGACCAGTTCTGCTGAAATTTGATGTCAACTACAGAAACAATAAAATGTCAACTACAGAAAGTCAAACTCCAACAACAGGAAATCCAAAGACATAGTGATTCAATGTTTTGTTGTTCGAGCGATAGAAAACCAGTAACAACTGTTTTGATAATTGATTACTTGTTTGGTTGTCCAATTTATCAGGTTAAAATGCAGACATGTTTATTTTACTAATGTGTGCATTAGATGCTTAAAAGCAGGGTTGCAACAGATACTTATGATATGTCTGAGGTAAAGTCCAAATTACCTGTTTTGGAAGAGCAACAGTCCAAAACCCTCACATTTTCAGCATTAAACGAAAAAAGAAAAGCAAAAGCAACATTTGAGCACTCTGAAGCTGCTAATCTTTTGACCTTTTTTCGGGATTAATAACTTTAATGACAAACTGATTATCAAAATAGTCGGTGAGAGTTTTCTGTCTACTTAAAAGTAGACCAAATAGAAAATATAGACAAATTATAAACATATTTGTTTTTGATTTCTGAGATTTACAGCCAAAGTGATTCATCACATACCCCAAAATAATCAGAGATGGATTCATCATTAATGCAAATAATCATTTAGCTTCAGCTCCACAAAGAAAATTGCCCAGATCTGTTTAACTGAAGAGTGATCTCTGCCTAGCAACAAAGACGTCAGCAAATCAAAACAGACAGATGCTGCAGGTCAACATTTTAGATTAAGTTTCCATCAACCGCCACTGGTGTGTCAAACTATTGGTAAGTAAACAGGTTATAGGTATACAGGTATGAAACAGGTTTGTGGTGGATTTAGCCCACATGATGTGTGGCCAGTGTGTAGGAGACTACTATTTAGTTTGCCAGGTCCCCTACTGAAACTCATACATGCTACATGCACTGATGCTACATGCACTGATGCTACATGCACTGATGCTACATTATTGTATCACATTAAAAAAGGTCCTGCTTCAGATCACCAACACATGTAGGCCAAGTTCAGAATCACCACAGACTATTTAGGCATGCAATACGAAGCCTAGTATAAAAGCTGATTTAATAAGAGCTTACAGCTATAAAACAAGGTAGGCTGATTTCTGTGTCTGTGTGTGAGTGTAGATCCACGTCTAAGTCCCGAGCTGCAGACAGACCCACTGCAATTAACCTCATTTACTGTAATCTGCCTGAGCTCTCTGCTGGTAGACTGAGGCTCCACTCAACTTCCCTCCTAGAAAGACTGATAGTTACTTTATTTTACTTGGAAACCAGGGATTACTGACCAGTCTTGCAGACAACAGATTAGGAGAAGTAGTGGGCAGCATTTTTTTAGGGTTAGGGGGAGACCATGTGATGGTTTTGTATAATTCATCAGAAAATAATTGGCATCTATTTTGATATTCAGTTAATAGTGTAATAGTCTTATACAAAAAACAAACAAGAACCAACCATTCCCTGGTTGCAGCTGTATGCCTCTCTGCTTTATTTCCTTGTGAAATTAATATCTTTGGGTTTGAACTGTTAGTCGGACAAAATAAGACATTCGAAGACATAATCTTGAATTTTTCACAAAAATCTTATAGTTTACAATCAAACAATTAACTACCGGGGAAAATAGTCACCAGATTAATACATAGTGAAAATACTTGTTAGTAGTAGCAACAGTACGATTTCTGTAATAACATACAAAAACAAAGTGGTCAAGGAAACCCTTCATATACTGTAGTTAATTCAGGAACTGATGTACATATAATAACTTGTCTGACTAAGGTCTGCCCAAAATGATCTAGTTTAGTGAGATCAAAGAACTGGAGTAACAGAATGAGAAACACATAGCCTTTAATGGTGCTAAAATAGCTTTCAGAGTAAGATAAGGCTGCTCCAATTTCTCATTATCAACCCAAGTCAGACTAGGTCACAAACTACTGTAAAATATTATGTATCCCCACCAAATAAGGCTGAATAAATATAAAGTGATGGTACTAAAGTGTAAAGTGAAGGTTGCTGGCTTCACAATGTCAAATTGCTTCTAATAATACATTTGGGGAATAAATGAAAGTCATGCTTTACTACTATCTATAAAACCTGAAAATATTATTTACCAAAAGAGGACCATGGTTTTAGAACTGGTCATACAGTAGAGCTAAAAAGAAACATGCTTATTTAAACAGCACTTCAGCAGCAAAGTGTCATTTCAGGTCCAAAGTACTGAGCCAAAACATCACACTAATGTGTTGCTGTTCAATCAGTGACACAGCTCAGTTTCAAGACACGTGTTGTGCAAATAATTTGACTTACAGATCAACCAAGGCAGGTTAGGCAATATCACGCAGGGCTGAGTTCAATCAGCCAGCCCTGGCGTGGACACACAGGCTGATCCAGGAATGTGCCATTGTGTTTTCCCTGCTTCAGTGTGTTACACTTTACCACCTGGGGACTGGCACAGCAGAGTAGAATTACAGTGACACCTTATCCCCCCTGGTTCAACTGCTGTTCTTAGTAGAATAGCTTAGCATCTTTTTTCCACTGACAGGTGTGTGAATAACACACAAACACACACACACACCTACTGCGGGGTGCCATATGGAGCAAGGCAACAGATTGAGGATAGCAGGTATCACAAGCAGCCCCTTGCCAGGTGTGATTTCCCCCAGAAGCCCAAACATATTCTTCTTGTCTTCACAGCATGAGTCTGATATTACCATTTACATGAGAATGATGTATGGATTATTCATCTACACTAATACTTAGTAAAAACAGCAAGACGAGATGCCTATTCTTTACATTGAGATTCACCAGGACCACACACTCCGAGTTGTGCAACACCTGCAAGCCACGTTGTTGCCAAGGGGGACTGAGACCTATATGTTAGCTGGCTGGTTGAATGTTGCTGCCTTTTCAGCATCAGAGTTAAAACTCACAGATTTGCAGACTGTGCTGAGTAATTAAGATAAACCCTGTCACATTTATCATCTGATCGGGGCTAGTTAAACCAAGACAAAGGGTTTGCTGAATTGTCCACAAGTCTTTTGTTCAGTCAAATTTCATCAACCTCAGGTAACCTCAGCTACCTGAAACTGCACCTACTCACAAACTAACAAACAAAACAAACAAACAAACACAAACAAACTGGTCAGTTAAAATAAAAAAGATTAACGTTATCCCCTGGGTATGAAACACTGCATAAAGCCAAATTGCCTTCTTCAGATATCGTCAAATAACACTCTAATTATCATATAGTGCCTTTGTCAATCCTATACAGGCGAGATGCCGAGACAAGCCATGTACATTAACAAGTTTATGTCACAATAACTCCAGTCTAGCTTTATATACAATATTCTTTGGACACCAGCAGTTAACGCTAAGCTAAGCTAGCTACCGACAGCTCCATCGGCTAACGCTGTTAGCTCCACACAAACACAACAAATTACTGCCCAAAATTTGCGGTACCTTTTAAAATCTCTCATAAGCCGTCTCCTTGCCGGGGTCGACATTATTCAAAATATGTTTTAAAAAACCAGGACCATAAACAGAATACGATCCGAAACCAAATACGGTGTTTCTTCCGCTTGTAGCCCTTTTCTTCTTCTCTCAAAACAACTGGCTAGCTAGCTATTTATGGTGACGTAGGTTGCTTACAGTGCTGGCCAACAGAGGTACAACCCCTTTTATGTCAGAGACGATGTTGATGTAAAAATGTTAATCATAACGCTTCCCCAATGAAAGCCAACTATATTTCTGATGATATAAGATATGGGATACAATTAACTTGTTTTATCCAGGACCGCAAGTCTAGAAACGGTTTAGTCATAATACAATTTTTGAACTCTAAACACCCATTCTGTGACATTCTAACATGAAGTACAACAGCCCATATTGTTGCAAAATCATATAAGAATTGAAAGTGTTTCTGAGATACTTGTATGAAGGCATTTTTCTTTTTAATATCGCATGCAAAGTGAGCAAGTCTACACTTTTGCATTCTTTATAGCCATAGAGAGATTTTGAGACAAATGTGCCCCTGGCCTGTGCTGCTAGTTAAAAATCATGCTTGAACTTTAAGTATTTTATTAATGTTGGAGATGGTGCTAGAGGCTAGAGTCTGAACCCCTCCCAATAGCTTCCTGCCACAACAAGTCCACATAGGCCTATTACAGGACACTACACAAAATGTTATAGGAAACCATCCAAGGAAACCTGTGATGCCGGTCACATTTTCTGACTGCAGAGCTCCTCTGCTGCCAATCATGTAATATTAAATATCAGAACATACAAGGCACATACTCAGTATAGACGGACTCAGAAAAAAATACAGACATATAGAGTTCCTGTGATAGGCTACTTGATGTATCATGGCAACAGTATAATTCTTTTTCTGACTTTAAGAAAGCACACTCAGCCGTGTGCATGCCAGTGTAAGCTTCAGTGCAAAAATGAAAACACTTTGCACAACTTTTCTTCAGCACACCACGCTTTATTCACTTTACTAACTCCTGTCTTTTGTGCCCGCCTCAGCCTTTTGTTTTCTGCCATCTTGCCCAAATGAAAGCAAGATAACTGCAAACATTTGATGAAGTGAATAAAGCATGGTGTAGCAGAAAACAGCTGTGCAATGTGTTTTAATCTTGATGGGCAAACAGCATCAGCCATGTCGTCCATCTATTGATGTGGGTAGAGAACAGTCTGTCTGTTAAAGAGGATGCAGCCTGTCATCCACCTAATACAATCACCCCACTTTGACTTCTGAACAGATGACAAGTGAAAATAAAAATTAATGTGCACCAGTCTAATAATCTACTCAGCAGTAAATGGCTTACCTTTAATCTACATAATCCATCTGTAGCTAATGTACTCTGCCTGCATGGTCCTGCTTCTACAGTGATTAACATCAAGTGAGAGAAAATATGGACAGACTTAAATCAACTACTGCTGCTTCACTGGTTTATGTTATACTGCAACTTGTAAAATGTGATTAGGCCTTGCGTCACAAAAGAGAAATAAAACTATACAAGAGTGACTGACTAAAAGAGTAAATAGTCAAAGAACACAGCAGAAAATTCAAAGATTGTCAGTTTAGATAATCTGATATCAGAAAAAAGGGAAATTTGTGGGGAAGTGAAAATATGGCATCCAAAAACATTTGTTGGAACGCATTGAACATCCCACATGGACGTGGATGTTTACTGACTCAGAGTGCATTCAGAGCAAAGCCATGGGAAATCACTGAGAGAAAACACATGTGTAATGACATTAGACTCAATATCAGAACAGACACCCAGCAGTTTTATCATTAGAGTAGAACAGAAAAAAAGAAGTGGCATTTAATATAACAGTACATCACACTGTACAAAACACTAAAGAGAATTCTTCCTTTCGAAGCACTCTTGGAGTCAGATGTTTTTGTGCCTTTTCTTTCCATCATACTTGCTGATGCGTGATCACAGGCCTTGTGTGTGTGTGTGTGTGTTTGTGTGTGTGTGTGTGCACAGCAGTGGTCCATGAAAATTACAAATAACACGAGATAACACTAACCATCTTGCTTTCATGCTCGCACTGTTCTCTATGATTAGAACAATACTGCTAATTCAACAGGCCCCCTGTAAACACAGCACTCCGTTAGTGTGATTACTCCAGCAGTCAGGGAGAAACAAAGAAAAATTATTTGTCTTGCCAACGCTGTTTTATGTTTGTACTGTGGGTTTTAAATTGCATAGTGGGGTTCTTGTAGTTGTTGCATTATTAGAGGGTTTGTGTTTGTCCTGTTTTTTTTTTCTTCCTATAATTGTTTTCTTTCCTGTTTTATAATTTTCATCTTTTTGTTCTCTCTAGATTTTATACTTCATTTCTCATCAACAACTCTTCTCATCTCCTGTTATTTTATTTTTTTACAGTGATGCCTGGGGTTAAATTCACCTTCATAAATCAGCAATCACATGTTGATTACTCAGATTTCACTGGCGTTATTAGAGGTAAGTCGTAATACATATGCTGATTATGTAAAGATATGCAGTTACATCTGTTGTAGAGCTGTTTAATTGATTGTCAGAAAAATAATTGCCAACTATTTTGATAATCAATTGATTAATTTGCAAAGGGAGAATGAGAATTTGCTGCTTTTCTTTACTGATGTGATAGTAAACTGAATATCTTTGGGTTTTGGACAGTTGGTAGGACAAAACAATCAATACAATCAATATGATGAAACTGAAACTGTGTTTTTTTTACATTTTATAGCCCAAACAATTAATCGTGAAAATAATCTGCAGGTGGATGGTATCAAAGAAAGGTTTCTGTCATGATTTTGGCATTTACATTCGAATGAATATGATATCCAAAGCAGAAGAATAGGAGAGTGTAACTTTATAGAATGATGCTTGATTGCACACATGGGATCACTGGTAGTAATCATATCGTAGTATCTGGTAAAATTACTGTATAACTTCACTGTTTCTTCTCCTCAAGCAAAAATAATTCAGCGTTAACTAGACTTTGACAGAAATTGACACAGACCAAGATCACATGGAGTTAGAGCAACAGCCTCACTGCAGGGCTTCAGTGAAATCCCAATCAAAGCTCCAGCAAATATAACTGGCAATCTAATCTATCTTAATCATTCTCTTGACCAGCTCCCCGAGAGAGAATGCAGCTATCAATAGACACACAGCCATGTTAGCATTTCACTATTGTGAGAATGTAGGTCACACATAGACAAAAGGGCCTGGCTCTAGCGTCTTTTCTGGCTCCCCCATGAGCCAGGAATGAAAAGCATGTTCCTTTTTGTAATGCAAAACACATTTACATCATGCGTTGCTATCTGGGTTCTTGGGGGAAGGAAACAAGTATTTATGGAATTTCATCACCGGTAAAAAACTTGATTTTATCTGCTTGGAAATAGTTTGGTAATAGATTGATGAGGACTAAGAAGCTGATTGTTATGCATCAGGTTTTCAATCAACTTTGCGACATTTTGAAGCTTCTTGAAGTAGTTATAGCTTGTTTTGTAGTTCTCTGCTTGGCTGCTTCAAGCAGAAAATCATGACCTCATGAGTGTCTGTCAGAGGCTGGACAAAGGCCTGGATCCAGCTAAAATAGGCAGGAAGAGAGTATCACTGCTGAGATCAGGTGCTTTTAATAGAGAGGGCAGAGAAATCACTAAGATACTGAGAGAGAGAGAGAGAGAGAGAGAGAGAGAGAGAGAGAGAGAAAGAGAGAGGTATTTCTTTTTATCTCTCCCTCTCATGATATACCATTTCATATACCAAATGACATGTAATTTTGAGGAAGGTTATAGTCGTGTACTCTGAACTGTGTAACATATCTTCTATTAGCCAAAGAACTGCTTCAGTGAAACTTTGAAACCTTTTCATATACTTTATAATTAATAATCGTGTTAAATCATTTTAAATTCTCCTTGAGTCTTGTGGATCTAACTGAGACTGTTAAATTTGAAATAAGAAACATTTATCAGCCACATGGAGGCTATTACAGATGTACATCAAAATCTAAAAACTCTGCTGTAATTACAGTTAAGGCTCCTCTATTGGTGTGTGCATAGTGGTTCGAACTGTGCTGATATTCCTGAATTAAATTTCAAACATTTCTATTATACACAGGAGGTTATTCTCCTGTCGCAGCTAGCTAACATGATCTGTGGATTTGAAATGAATGTAGCATTCATTAACATAGGCCTAGTTTTTTTTTATTGCAGTGAATTGTTTCATTATCTTTTCCCTGCAACTGAACAGGTGCAGTCTTCAGTCTAGTAATATTAGTAGCCTATTTTTTTTCGACATTCATATTCGCTTGAACCTTATTTTGCCATAATGCATGTTTCCCTCCCTTTCTCTGCCTCATGGTCTGTGAATGGAGAGGTCACTCAGGCTCTTTTACCTCTCTCATCAGTCTCACTCTAATGACCCATTAGTCTCCGCAGAAACCTGCTGGCGGCGGCTGGAAGACAGCAGTCTGAGTGTTAGGGCGGGGCTGGAGCCATCAACGTGTACAACAGCCATCAGGCTAATGAGGAGTGAAGCTTTAAGATGGTACAAGCTAATTGTCCCACTAGCTCTGCAATGTCTTGTTACATCTACACGGGCGATGGTGGAAATTAAATTACACAGCTGACTTGGTGAGCATTCAGGGAATCGCTCAAGCCTGCGGCCTGTTGGAGCGTCTTGGTCTGTGACTTTAGTGATCACCTGACTTTTCCTCTAGTGCCGCAGTGGGATTGATATTATTCGCCTTAAGTAAAATGGTTCAACAACTATTGAATGTTACTTTGTTTGAACATGTTAAACAAATCATCAACATGTTGGAATTGTCATTGTGACTATGTTAGCATGTTGATGTTAGCATTTTTCTCTAAGCACTATGGTGCCTAAATAGAGCCACTAATGTGGCTGCAGACTCACCGCCTTGTTATCATGTGGGTTATCTCTCGGTGATGGAGCACAGGATGTCTGAATCTCAGTGTTCCAGTATAAAACATTTTGTGTCTGGGAGGGCTAAAGAGAGAAAATGGACTCTTTCCAGACACAGTAACACAAACGCTAATGACTGTGCCTCACAGTGGATCTATTCAGCCTCAGGGCAAGGGACA